TTTAACTACACACTGTGTTATGGCTGTTTTGTCAAGAGGCTGTTATTCTGTAGCCCAGGAAAAAACAATTCTGCATAACACCAGCATTGATATTTTAAAACAAATACAAATCAAGTAAAGAACCCTTTTCCCCCGCCATTGACATGGGCTTTTGAGGTTAGACATATTTCTGTATACTAATTGGCACTCAGTGGGTGTTGAGGTCTGCATCATGCTGGCAGCCTGTACCATCCAGGACTTTCCCTGGTACTCCCTTTCATGCTAATGTCTTCTTGAACATTTGATGCTAGACTCAAAGTTTTATAGACCACTTAGTGGGTTGTGAAATCCTCTTCACCATCTGCATTGGTACATAAGCAGTAATGAAAACAAGCAGTTAAGTCATTGTATTGTGAAAACAAACAGTTAAGTCATTGTATTGTGAAAACGAGAGCTGCCATAGCACAGTGAACAGCATTAACGGTCTTTTTGTTTGATATTTCCCTGAAGTGACTGCAGCCTGAAACTTGTATTCTAACCGTGTACTGTGTGTTTTCATATAAATTCATTGTGTTTTAATTATTATCAGTCTTCATCTTCTCAGTATTTACCAGCTGTAAACTCTGGTGCAAAGTTCTGGTTGTTTGTCCACTTCTTAGTGTTCACCAGCTGTAAACTCCGGTGCAAAGTTCTGGTTGTTTGTCCACTTAGTGTTCACCAGCTGTAAACTCTGGCGCAAAGTTTTGGTTGTTTGTCCACTTCTTAGTATTCACCAGCTGTAAACTCTGGCATGTAAAGTTCTGGTTGTTTGTCCACTTCTTAGTATTCACCAGCTGTAAACTCTGGCATGTAAAGTTCTGGTTGTTTGTCCACTTAGTGTTCACCAGCTGTAAACTCTGGCGCAAAGTTCTGGTTGTTTGTCCACTTCTTAGCTTAGTGTTCACCAGCTGTAAACTCTGGCATGTAAAGTTCTGGTTGTTTGTCCACTTAGTGTTCACCAGCTGTAAACTCTGGCGCAAAGTTTTGGTTGTTTGTCCACTTCTTAGTGTTCACCAGCTGTAAACTCTGGCGCAAAGTTCTGGTTGTTTGTCCACTTAGTGTTCACCAGCTG